ATTCGTGCATGGGTAGGGTCCCTAGGCCTGGCCAGCAATCAGGGCTGATCGGGGCCCTCCAGCTGCCGGCCAAGGCCTCCCTTGCCTAGCTGCCAGCTGCTGGCCAGGGCCTTCCTTTGTTCTGCACCGCCCCCTGGTGGTCAGTGAATGTCATAGTGAGCAATCAGTCTCCTGTCTCCTGGATGAACTCCTGAGGGGACACTTTGCATATTAGCCTTAGATATATATAGACTAGAGGCCCAGTACACGAATTTGTGCACTGGGCGGGGGGGTGTCCTTCAGCCCAACTTGTGCCCTCTCGCAGTCTGGGACCTCTCGGGGGATGTCTGCCTGCCGGCTTGTGGCTGGATGACCTGCTGCTGCTGCATGGCCTGCTGCTTGAGCTTCAGCAGCTGCTGCACATGCACAGGCTGGGCCACCACAATCTGTCCTGTGAACACCATCGAGTGGGTAATTCAAGCATAGAGGCAGGCTCACCCTGAATTTCCTGTGCTTCCCTGAGTTACTGAGTTGTTCAAACTGACTGCCTTCTACAGAGAACGGCATCAGGATCAGGCCTAAGCCGGCAGTTGGACATCTCTCTTGCAGTCCGGGACCCCTTGGGGATGTAGCAGTGTGCTAAGCAGCAGGTGGCCAGGGAGGAGCCTGAATCTGGGCCAGGAACCATGCTGCTTGCACTCATCCCGGCCCGCTGTGCCTGCTGCCGCCACTCGGTAGCACTGCTATGGCGTCAGAAGAGGCTCCCACCATAGCAGCTGCACTCACCAGCCGTGAGCCAACTCCTGGCTGAGTGGCACTCCTCCTGTGGGAGTGAACTGACCACCAGGGGTCAGCTCCTGCATTAAGCATCTGCCTCCTGGTGGTCAGTGAGCATCATAGGGACTGGTCTTTCTGGTTGTTCGGCCAACGGTCACTTAAGCTTTTATTATATATCTACACTAATAAAAGAGAAACATGGTAATTGGTGTATGACCGCTACCCTTCCCATTGGCTAATCACGGCGATATATGCAAATTAACTGACAGCCAAGATGGCGACCGGCAGCCAGGCAGCATAAACTAACATGAGGCTTGCTTGCTTCAGTGACCTGGCCAAGCCCCCAACCGGCTCTCCCGCCAGCAGACCAGGGCTGGCGGGGCGGCTGCGGCTTCCACCCGCAGTCACATCCCCAACCCACGGTCGCCCCCCGACCCGCTCCCGCTGGCTGCACCTAGGGATTAGGCCTGCCCTCTGCCACCCGGGAGCAGGCCTAAGCCAGCAGGTCGTTATCTCCCGAGGGGTCCCAGACTGCAAGAGGGCACAGGCTGGGCTGAGGGACCCCCCTCCCCCCTTAGTGCACAAATATTTGTGCACTGGGCCTCTAGTATATATATAAAATAAAGAAACATGGTAATTAGCCATAACTTCGCTACCCTTCCCATTGGCTAATCAGCGATGACCCATTGTCTGTGTCCGTAGGCCATGCACATATACATACAAGGTCCTTGGTTGATTACCTCTCACTCGTGCAGTCCTCCCCTCCCCTGCCCTTCTCTCTGAGATTCTGCCCTCTGTTTCATGTTTCCATGTCTCTGGATCCATGCTGTTTATCAGTTTATTTTGTTACTTAGATTCTACATATGAGTGAGATCATGTGATACTTATCTCTCTCTGACTGACTTATTTCACTTAGCATGACACTCTCCAGGTCCCTCCATGCTGTCTCTCAGGGTAAGAGATTCTTCTGTTTTACTGCTGCATAGAATTCCATGGTATAAATGTTCCACAGCTTTTTTGTCCACTCATTTGCTGATGGGCACTTGGACTGCTTCCAGATCTTAGCTATTGTAAGTTGTCAATTAGCCATGTTCTTGACCACATCAAGAACATGGGTTGATAAAAGTATTGGAGCTGATGAATACCTTGAGGGCAGAACCAAGTCAGTGTCACTTTCTGGGGGGCTGGGAGTGCCTCACACTAGGGGCCAGTTCTCAGGGAACATTTCAGGTGCTGAAGGAAGTTGATGGGTCATTTGCTGAAATAAATCTGGAAAGGACACTAATGTGGGTCCAGGCATTAGCACAAAGCTCTAACTTCGGGACTTGGGCTCACAAACCAGCTCCTGGCTGACCTTTCAGATGATTATGAAGGTAAATGGACTTATGGGGAAATTCTGGAATTTACCTGCCCTTAAGAATCTCAACAGGAAATGAGCCAACCTGTTAATCTGAGGACCAAGACTCACTTTCCAGTAGGTATTTACAGTGGGTGCCAAGGTGCACAAGGCCACTGAGGACTCGGGAGGTGTGTGCATTATGGCTCTTCTCTTGGAGAAGCTCCTAGTGCAATGGGGAGGGAGATGCAGGTTCATCTTCTATGCAGATGCCACCTTAGGCGACTCCATTAGTTGGCTGTGGTTGGCCAGTCCCAGCCCATGGAGGGCAGCTTGGCTTCCCCTACTGTGTGTCAGGCCCCCCGTGACCTGCAGAGGAGCATTCTGGTGAGATGGCTTCTGGCTGGAGGAGCCAGCTCCCTGTTTGGCTGGGGCCAGCCCCCTGGCTTTGTGATTTTCTGGCACAAAGTAAGTGCTGCAGTAAAGGGCACCAGAGGCCGGCCGAGCAGCAGGAGTGATGCTCTTTATGGAGAGCCGTCACCTCCAGGGCCACGCTCCTGTTGAGCTACAAGCACATTCCAAGTAATTAAGTGGATTGGGTTCTCAGACCGTTGTGAGCATCAGCTTGGACATCCTTGCCCGGAGCCCCTGGCAGGTCCCATAGCTGGCTTGGCAGCCAGACCAGCATTGTGGGATGCCCCTGCCCTGGTGCCCACTGTGTGGAGGGGACTGATGAGAAAGTACACTCAGTATATTTGGAAGGTCTTGTGTATAGGGAGCTAATTACGCTCTTTTAAAATCTGTTTGCCACCAATCACAGCTTTCATGGTGCTGTGACTGTCATGGGAACTAAAAGCATATCTGAAAATAAAATGTCACTTTTTTTCATTTCTACTGTAATGACACAGGAAAAATGCTTTCCTTTTTAACTTAACATGATAACTAGAGATGAGTAAAAAAGTATAGGTGTGTGTGCGGCTCGTGTGGATAAGCAGGTGCCATAGTATCTGTGAACGCATGAGTTGTGTGTGTGTGTGTGTGTGTGTGTGTGTGTGTGTGTGTGAGGGTGTATATTGGTGTGTGCAGCTGTGTACAGCTGTGTGGCTGTGGAGTGAGTCCTCCTGTGTGTATGTCTAGGATAGGGCCTGAGATCACACATAGTTTGTGAGTGTTTGAAGACTGGTCTGTGCGCATGTGTATATGTGTACAGTACTGATGTGTGTGTGTGAGTGTGTGACTGTGTGTGTGTGTGTGTGTCTGAAGACAAGTGCTATTGCATGGATGTGTTAACCTTGTATTGTTTGGTAAGAAAAGGTTTCTGCCTTTCTTTCCTGTGGGAGGTTCCACCCAGTCATAGGAGATAGAGCCCCTTTTTGTGGGGAGGGCCCACCTCCTTGCCATGACCCTCAGAAAGCCAGAGCTCTCACAGGTCAGGAGCACCCAGACACGGTCTGGCCCTGACCTAGAGTATGGGGTTTCTGGTCAAGGTGGAGGTTACAAAGCACAGGGTCAGTTTGTGCATCTGTCACTCACTCATTGCAGTAACTGACACTTGTTACGTCTGTAGCTGAGCTTATCTCACTTGACTGGGAAGGGACGGACAGATTGACAACCCTAACTTACAACAATAATGACATTTGCACACACCTCTGCAAGGCTTCATGCTTCCTAAGGTCATCTTCTTGGTCCCACCTCCTAAGGGCCGGCTTCCACAGGAGGACACTTCCCAGGTGTGGAAATGCACCTCTGGTCAGACTCAAGAGGATGGAAGCTGAGCCGGGACCCTCTTCCCAGGATGTGATATGCAGCCGGAGCTGCCAGGGTGGGGCCGCTTTTTGCAGGGAGAGGCCACTGCCCGCTGCAATGTGCGGCCGTCCCCTGGGGCCAGTGTTCTCGGATGAGGACTCCATCCCTGATGCCAAGGCTCGTTCTTTTCATCACCAAAATGCTTCCAGTTACATTCTGTACTTTACATCCCTTGAGATTCTTTGTTTTGTTACTAATTTGTAAACGTCAATCAAGAGAACCAATATTGATTAAATGTGAGTTTAATAAGTGTTTATTGGGCACCAATTATTTTAAGGTTGTCCCTGCCTGGGCCCAGATGACACAGCATGCATCGGAATGACTCTCTGCCTGGAGCTTTTCTCAATGCAGTGTCGGGGGACGAGAGAGACAGACTGTGTGCAGCAACCAAAGCAGGCACAGATGAGGGGTGCCTTAACCCAGCCAGGTGCCTTCACCTGAGTGGACTTGTAAAGGACAAGTAGGGGTACAAGATATCGGGGAGAGAGGGTGACATCCAAGGAACGCAGGGGCTCCCTCCGTATAAGAATCAAGTCTGGACTGGAGACATAAAGGGACTCTGGTCCTGGATGCTCTTTGCTTTGTCTAAGGAAGTTAGGATGACCCTGCCTTGGGATCATGAGTAGCCGCCCAGGCTTAGGCGCTTTGGCAAGAATCTTCTCCGTAAGGCAGCTATCCCTAACTCTGCCCCCAACTTTGTTTCTGTGGCTCTGTTGATGCCAACAGCAAGGAAACAAATGATGTTGGCAAGGAGCTGGGCTTTCTTGCGAGTTGCAATCATGTTGGCGGCTGTAGCTCTCTCCACATCGCTTCTACTACAGCAGTTCCCATGGGAGTGTGAATGGAAAAGTACCTGTAAATATTAAGGTTGGTTCCAAAGGCACATGACTGTTTTATTGTGTAACACCCTCTGGTGACATTGAGGCCTTATTAATAACTAAACAACTGTCACGACTGTAATTATATTTCTTGCGTCCGGATTGTGTTTCTACCATTGTCCTGTTTAAACACGGAAGGGAGGGTGTGAATTATTTAGGCAACTGACTGAGTAAATGATCAACCAGCACTGTGCAGGCAGTAAGTTTCTGTCAACTCCTTGCAGAGCCTCAGTGTCACCGCTGACGTTCCCTTGATGTGCTCACAAATCTCTCTGAGAACATCGCCCTGGACCCCCGATGCGGCTGCCCGAGCAACCTGGAGAGGGGAAGCCTGAGCATGAGGAAAAGGGGGGCAGAGGAGCCCCTGGAGGGGGAGAGGAGCCGCCGAGGAGCCAGGCCCCCGACTTCCCCACTTGGCAAGTCTTCTCCCCCCAAACCCCCTGGAGAAACGAGCTTTCTCACCTGTTTGCTCAGGATTGATTGTGTTCTGCCCTCAGGTAGGGGGTGGTGCGGGGGCTGGGAGCCTTTGCAGCTGAGTGTGGGGGGAGAGGAGACCAATGGGCAGGACGTCTGGGAGGGGTCCAGAGGGGACATCTGTCCAAGCTGGGTACAGAGATGAAGTCCTGAGCCTGACAGGTTCGAGATGTGTAGTGGGTGAGGGGATGGGTTTGCAAGCTGACTCAGGTGCTGGCTGGGTTGGGGTGATGCTGGTGGTTAGAAAAGCAGCAACAGATATCATTTAGAGAGTGGGACTGTGTCTCAGCATCGAAGCAGGAGTGTCGCATAGGTAATTTCAACAAATCCTCATAATAACCCCGCAAGGGTGTCATTAACACCGTTTTTACAGGAGAAAAGTAAGACAGACATTAATCAACTTGCTCCAGATCGCACAGGCAAAGGTAAACCTGTGAATCCTGCCACGGATCTCTGAATCCAAAACCGAGGTTCCTAACCACTGGGAAACCCAGCCCCTCACTTACAGGTGAGGAGGTAGTTCAGGGGGAGGGGTTTCACGTTACCAAGCCACAGGCTTCCCTGGCTTTGACCCTGCTTGCTTTCTTCTCCTTGGAGACATTTATGGCTGTATAAACTTAAGAGGAATTTCAACTCTGGGTGGTTTTGTATAGAAGAAAATTTTGATCTGTGATGCTGGCATTGAGGAGTTGGTCTGTGCTGAGTCCTATAAACGGTTATGTTCTGAATGGTCTCCTTAAGGCTGTTGGAACGGAATCGCCAGTCCTTTCTGTCACCAGCTCCTCATGGTGGCCAAATGTGTTGATGGTGGGGGCCATGAATTTAAGTTTAGGCTGAGGAGGGAAAAAAGGAACTAGAGATGTTTCTGACCGTATCTCCTGATTTCTAGCCATTTCTCCCAGGAGGGCTGGGCCCGGCACAGGAGGCTGTAGGTGTTTATGTAGAGCCATCGTTTGGGAACTCAGAGGTGGGAGCATGCACACCTGTGGGTGAGCCCTTCTCGTCTACCCTGAGGAAAGGTCTGGAAGAGGATGACATGAGCTGGGAAGGACACATGCTGCAGGGCAGGCTCAGCGTGAGTTCTGCTCAGTAAGTTTCGTCAGGGACCAGAGCAACCTGGGCTGGGCCTCCTCAACCCAGCTCACCCTTTCCAAGAGAGGAGCCTGGTAGGAGGCATGGTCCAGTTCAAGGGTAAAATTCCCGGCTGGCTTTTCCTCAGGCTGGCATAAGTGACGACGTCCTGGGCGATGATCCTGGGAAAGGGGAGCATGTTGAGGAAAAGAGGTAAGGACTGGGGTGACAGATGTTTCTGCATGTCCCACAGAGGCTGTAACAAATGACAAACATGGCAGATGCCACAGAGGGAAAGGACAGGTTTCTACCTTAGTGGAAGTGAAGGTATCCTACAGCAAACAGACCAAGAAGTCTATCGGAGTTAGAAAGACCCTTTTTGCTCAATAGACTCCCAAATTAAAAAAAAAAGTTTTTCTATTTGTTCCTGTGACTTTGGGATTTGGGGGCCAGAACTGTGATGGGCATGACTTAGGCAATTTGATTTCACCTGTCTTTGGGAGTAGCACTAGTCCAGTTGGAATGAGCCAAACCATCAGCGTCTCCTTGGGGCATTAACTCTTTTTGGGGCCAAGGCCGAGGGTCTCTAGGGCTTCTGGCTTGTTCCCCTCACACATTCAATCCCCTCCCCCCCCCACATAACACTTTTGCTTACTCCTTCCTTGGGAGCATTCCCACAAAGATTTGTTGGTGCAGTGGGCAGGGAGATACAGGTGAAAAGGAGGGATGGAATGGGGCGATGAGAGGGAGTCCTGTTGTTATGGCCTCAGTGCAAGGGATTGGAGAGGAGGGGAAGGAAATACAGCCCATTTGGAGCATGGTCCCACATCAGTTTCCAGCAGTGAGGTCGCTCAGAGCAGCGGTAGCCAACCTTTCGGACCTCACGGACCACCAGTGGTCCACGGACCACCGGTTAGCGACCGCTGCTCCAAAGGTTTCCTCAGAGTACATTGCCTTCCTGTCCTTCAGTCCCTTGGCTGGGACTTCCTTCAGCTAGAGCATAGGTTGGGTAGTGGGTCAAGCCTACAGAACATCAGAGGCCTCCTCAGATCTCAAGCCCTCTGGGCAGTTGCCTAGGTGGCTGTGCCTGGCGTAGGCAGGGTGGGCAAAATTATCAAGTGAGGAGTCTCCTCGACATGTTCCACCTTCCCACTGGATCATTTTCACATTTCCTTGTACCATTTTGGTTGCAAGTAACAGAAGTCCAGTAGCGTTCTCCTAAGTGAAAAAGAGAGACCTGTTAGAAAGACTTCAGGAAAGGGTTGGGAGAGGTGTCTTATAGAATACAAGGCCTAAAGGATGGATAACCCGTAGGCCCAGAGGGATTTTGAAAACCAAATAAAGCTGCTCCTCTCTACCTGTCCACGTTTCTCTGGTTTCTATGACTATATGAAAATTATTCTTGTCAAAAAGCTCCCAATTTGTCTTCCAGGCTCGGCTGGGAATCAGTATTGTCTTAATTCCAAATTCCCCACGAACAGGCTCATTGCTGCCCATTCCTGATCAAATAAATAGTATCCAGGATAGGAGAGTCAGAGGTTAGGAACACGTTGCTTCCACTGTAAATATGTGGATGGAAAAGGGGAGAGGCAATGGCTAGATGGTGGGGCACTTCTTCACCACAGTTCCTGGAATATTGGTTTTCTTCCATTCTGGAAGTTGGTTGACTATCCATTAGTGCCGATAAGGTGCTTACTATTAATGCTTTAAATTGCAGTCTTTAAAAGAAGGTGGTCCCTGCGAGACCCAGGGAACTATCACGGGTGGAACAAGCACAATGGGGTGGATAAGTGGACCGGGGCGGGGGGCGGAGAGCGGTCTGCAGGGGAGTGTGGAGAGAGACCTTATACAGAGGGCGGGGTCTGGAGAAGAAAGACCTCCTAGCCTTCGTCTCAGAGGTTCTCCTCCTGCTTGTCAGCTCAGAGGATTGCAGAATTCCCCAGACTTTCTATTCCTATGTCTTTGCCAAGGTGTGGCCATGTCTGCAGGAGATAACTTACAGATGGGGACCTCTTTCTTTTCTACTTCTTTCCCTGACGAGTCTCCCAAGTGCACACAACAATGGAGCCCCGACTTGTCTTGGGTCTGCCAACGTGCCAACTTCTCAATCTGGTGGCTTGAAAGGATGGTCTCCCCTTTTGTCCAGACTATTGGATCTGGGGTGCTCTTTGGGTCAAGTATGGAGCTGACTTGTGGATGGTCAGTAGGCTCAGGAAGCCAGCTAGGAGAGTGTCCCCAGGTAATAGGGAGATGCCCAGGTGGCTTCAACAAATTACAATTAAATAAACAACCCTACTAGTATGGTGCTGCTCCAACCCAATCCAAAGGAAACTTTTCTAATATGGGGAGAAATGGATGTGCACTATTGATATATGAGCTAAGAATAGCTCGTGTTCCAAACAAAGTGTTTTTTTCATATTTTGAAATAAAAATGTGTAGACAAAGCAAGGAATTAGAATGCATGACTCATTGCTGATTCTGAAAGCAATAGAAATTCAAAGGGAATTATTCTCTTCCTATTTCGCCCTCCACCCCTGTTCTGAATAGCTTATAAAAAGAGTCTCTACTTAAACAGGACCCATAAACTCCTCTATGATTTAAGGTTCAGCATAGTGAGAGGCAGGAGGAACTCAACCTTTATTGCTTGGTTAATAAACTGGCCTCCCCACTAGACTGGATTCATTTACCAGAGTTCTCCATGGCTTGTTCATCCTCATTTCTCCTCCTCTGGTCTCTCATTCTTTGGACCCACTGGGGCCACTGCTCCTCCCTCCCCCAGTGCCTGGCTCTGCTGGACCTCAGCAGACTCAACTCATCAGCCTTAACAAGGGTGTTTCATCAATAAGCATTAGCTCTTCGGGCTATGTCTTAGGGGAGAGTGCAAACTGTATGGTATTGTAGCAGGATGTGGGCATCTCCATCAACCCACTGGGTAGTCTTGAGCTCATTTGTGTGTTGAATAGAATGGTTGGGCTTCATTAGTGGTGTTTAGGTTTTTTGTTTTGTTTTTGTGGGGTTTTTTTTTTTGCTCACAAACACCTTTTTAAAATAAGTCTTATGGGGAATCCAATATTTAAAACAGAAAAGAGAGAGCCCATTCCAGTTGGAGCAAGGTGTATGTGTGTGTGAGTGTGTGAGAGAGAGAGAGAGAGAGAGAGAGAGAGAGAGAGAGAGGATGGGAGGTCCTCCAGGATCCCTGAGAGGAACAGCAAGATGTTTCACTTGAAGGAACTGTTGGTCGACCTTCATGGCATGATTCCTTAAGAAATGTGTAAAAGTCTTACCTTTGACCTCTCCTTGCTGTCTCCTTTCATTTTCACCAACCCCACGCTCCTTGAATACTTACCAGCTTGTTCAGTCTTATATCTTCCCCAAGTCTTGATGTCATGCAGGAAAGCTGAGGTGATCATGTGGATGACCAAAGCAATATTTTCACCTCATGTTGCCTCAACTTTAACTCTGTGATTTTTCTTTCCTCTTGACTTCCACTCCCATAGCTTCCACCTTGCTCCTGTTACCCTCTGGAGTACCCTACCTCTGAGAGCTCACACTGCAATACTGCTCTCTTCGACAACCTTCTCTATAGCTGTTTACCACTGCTAGTCCTATTTTGGGATGAGTAGCATACTGAGAGCAAATCCTATATGAATATGGGACACGGATAGTTGACCCTACGTATTTATAGTCTTCAACTCCAATAGTCTTCAGTGTTGGCTCAGTAGTTCTTCTAGTGGTCAGGTTCCTCCCCATTCTCCACCATGACTGTTTCAACCCGTATCTATTCTTCTAAAAATGATGTCACTTCCTCATTCACATGAAATACAAAGGTCCCAGAAAGAAAATTCTTTTTTTAAAAAAATATATTTTATTG